AAGGCAGCCTTGTCTGCAGTGACCATGAGATGGCACACTGCAAACTCACTGCCCTGGACTTCAGGAGAGCAGAATTTAGCCTCTTCAAGGACCGAAGCAGTAGAGACCTGTGGGATAGAGCCCTGGAGGACAGAGGGGCCCAAGAATGCTGTCTGAATTTCAAGGATCACCTCATTCAAGCTCAAGAGTTATGCATCCTGACAAGGAGAAAATCAGACAAAATTGCCAGAAGACCTCAATGGATGGATAAGGAGCTGCTGAGCAAACTCAGAGTAAAAGAAAGGAAGCTTTCAGAAAGTGGAAAAGAGGACATATGGCTTGGGAGGAATACAGGGAAAGTGTGCTGAAAGCTAGGGACAAGGTTCAGCAAGCCAAAGTCCAGTTAGAATTGAGCCTGGCCAGGGACATTAAGGATAACAGGAAGAGCTCCTATAGATACTTTGCAAGCAAAAAAAACAAGAATAAGGATAAAGTAGGCCCTCTCCAAATGGAAAGGGGAGAGCTGACTACCCTGGACAAAGAGAAGGCTCTCAACAACTTCTGTGCCTCAGTCTTCAGTGGCAGGTGATATAACTATGCCACCCCAGTCAAGAAAGGAAAATGCAAGAACTGGGAGAATGTAGACCCTAAGCTCACTGTGGGAAAGAATCAGATTCAAGACCATCTATGGAACCTGAATGTGCAACAGTCCATGGGACTCAATGAGATTCATCTGCAGGTCCTGAGGGAGCTGGCAGACAAAGTTGATAAGACACTGCCCATCATTTTTGAAAATTCATGGCAGTCAGAGCCGCAGGTGACTGGAAAAAGGGAAATATAAGCCCCATTTTTAAAAAAGGGGAAAGTGGAGGAATGGAGGAACTATAGACTAATCAGTTTCACCTCTGTGCCAGGCAAGACCATGAAGCAGATCCTTCTGAAAACTATGCTAAGGCACATGGGAAACAAAAGGGTGATTGGTAACAGCTGACATGGCTTTACAAAGGGGAAATCATTCCCGGCAAATTCGGTGACCTTCTATGGCAGGACCATGGCATTGGTAGATAGGGGCAGAACAACTGATACCATCTACCTGGACTTAGGCAAAACATTTATCATAGAATCATCAAGGTTGGACTGTATCCTATCCACCAGCACCAGATCCAGATGCCTCTTAAACACTTCCAAGGATGATGACTCCACCACCACTAGCAGGGATGGTGATTCCACCACCTCCCTGAGCAATCTATTCCAGTGCCTGACCACCTTAACAGTGAAAATTTTTTTCCTAACATTTTCTCTGAATCTCCCCTGTCTCAGCTTATGACAATTCTCTCTAGTCTTATCACTGCAACCATGGCAGAATAAACCACCCCCACCTCTCTACAAGCCCCTTTCAGGTAGCTGTTGAGAGCAATGAGGTCACCCCTGAGCTGCCTCTTCATAGGGCTAAACAAACCCATTTCCCTCAGCGCTTCTTCATATGACATGTTTTCTAGGTCTTTTATGAGCCTCATTGCCCTTAGCTGGAATCTCTCCAGTGCCTCAACATTCTTTTTAAAGTGAGGGGACCAAAACTGAACACTGTACTTGAGGTGTGACCTCCCCAGCGCCGAGTGCAGTGGGGTGATCACTTCCCCGGTCCTGCTGGCCATACTATTCTTGATACAGGCCAAGATGCCTTTGGCCTTCTTGGCCACTTGAGCACATTGTTGGCTCAAACTGAGCTGCTGTCCACCAGCACTTTCTGACAAAAAATACTCAACCACTCTTCAGTTTGGTACTGTCCAGCATGACATCCTTGTCTCTGAACTGGAGACATATGGATTTGATGAATGGACTACTTGATGGAATAAAGAACTGGCTACTTCATGGAATAAAGAACTGGCTGGATGGCCACACACAAAAACGTGTATTGTCCACATGGACACCAGTGACAAGTGGTGTCCCTCAGGGGTTAGTGCTGGGGCTGATACTGTTCAACATCTTTGTCAGTGACAAGGACAGTGGGATTGAATGCACCGTCAACAAGTTCACAGATGACTCCAAGCTGTGTGGGGCAGTCGATGCCCTGGAAGGAAGGGATAACATCCAGAGGGACCTTGACAGGCTTGAGAGGTGGGCTGATGCAAACCTCGTAAGTTCAAAAAAAGTGAAGTACAAGGTTCTACACCTGGGTTGTGGCAATCCCAGACACACCTGTTGAATGGACAGA